TCTGCTCTCCAGCAGGAGCAAAGAAAAGAATGAACTTGCTCAATTCAGGAAATCTGCCAAGCCGTCATAACGAGGGAGGAGTGGCACTTTACTAAGGACTATTCTTGGGCCAAATTCTAACATATTTTGCAAATGTTGGGAAAGTAGTACCCTTGAAAGCTGGAAGGCCAGCCTTTCTGATGGGTGCTGGCTTCTTACCACTGTGGCACCAGCAGGCACAAAAAATAGATTTCTCCTAAACTCATTCCCAGAGACAGATGTGAAAATAAACCATTTTCAGCTCAGCCTGAGGTAAGCACTTGAAATGTTAGCCCAAATTACTGTCTTGGAGGCAATGGTGGGAAGTGCCAAGCAACTTATAACGAGCACAACTAATTTTGCCACTAACACAAGGAGTCATTAACATTTGGCCAAGGTGGCCACATGACTCTGGGTGGCGTATTGCCATTCACAGGACAGAAACATTTCTCTGAACAATACACACAAGCACACACATATCTCGGTTATTTCAGTGGGGGAAAAGGTTTTCCTTGTCCATCCTAGATTTTGTGGGATGCTGCTATGTGTGTTTACTTGTCTGGAAGATGTGTCTTGTACACCCACCCAAAAGTAACCCACATTCAGGTGTGGAGGCACACACATGCTGGTTACTGGTGACACATCTTTCTCAATGTTGGTAGACACAAAGTGCTGGGATACCATCAAGTACTGCAGTGCTGTCCCAATGTTCAGGGCATCTGTGTGGTTCCCCCATTCCCAGCTGATCCGATTGCGCTCATTTGCTGGGATCTGTCCTGAGCAATTTTCCCCCCACCCCGTGATGAAGACCACAGCACGAGGCCATGCTGCAAGTCTGGAAACCCCTCTATGCCCATGCAGAGTATGGGACAGACTACCCCAGCATAACCCTTTCCCTTACCTGCTCCCACCCTCGGGGTCTGCAGCCCAGAAGGGATCCCTTCTCCTCATATACACTGTAGATCTGGAGCCCTAATGGGAAATTAGGGCATTTTTTGCCCTAATTTTGCGCATGCTGTACTGGCAGAAAGGCATTAGCTCAGAGGCAGAACGTGATAACCAGATTCTGCTTTTCAGCTGTTTGCGCATGCTGTACTGGCAGAAAGGCATTAGCCCACTTTCCAGGGCCTCAGCATGGTTTGGCCATGACAGCCCTCAGCAAAAACACATCTGCTCTGAGTGTACTACAGATACAAAAGTGGATTTTTTTTTCTCCCTGTCTATGGCCCAAAGGATTTATCCTCCAGAATTTGTCACTTTGGGCTACTCTCCTTTAGATGGCACTGTTACCACTTCCAAGAGGGACTGCTGCTGGCCACTTTCCTGAACAGGGATGAAACTGGGCCAGGACTGTCATTATTACTGGGTAACAAGCCAGACCAGGCCAGGAGTGACCCAAATCAGGGGCAGCTGTTCATGATATTTGCTCTAAAAAGTCTTCATGGCAACATCTTCACAGTATGACTCCAAGTCCTGCCAGTCAGTTGTTCACTTTGGAATATCCCTCACAGCACAAAGGTTGTACTGATACCATGAACGCCCAACATTAAGGACAAACTCAATCTGCTCCTCTTCAGAATAAGTTAGAAGTGGTCCCTGAAGTCAACAAGAGTCATGTGTGCATACCTGAGGGCCTTAACTAATTAATCTGCTAATTAAATAATAATTAGAAGCCATGTTGTCCACAGGCACTGCAATCATTACTTTTTGTAACTAGCTAAATGCTTATGTCAGAACCACTACTTTAATTTTTTTTTGTCCACTGCTTCAGGCGTCACCTCCTTCTATCACCTAGGCTTTTTTCCAAGGCAGCAAATTGGTTTAGCTGTCATTTAATGGCTCTGTATTAAGTACTGCTACATGTTGTGCACTCCTTGATGCCTATTAAATGAATCTTGTCTACTAAGAGCATTTTCAACTGAGAAGGAGAGATGATTCTAGGATACCATTCAGCAGTGGTCTGGAACAGCCAGAAAACAAATCGAACAAAATCCAAAGAAAATGGTCATGCAACCCTATGGTTGCTACAGCAAGTGCTTAACATTGGAAAGCACTCAAAGAAAATGCTGGTGTTGGCCAACACGCTTTCCTACGCATTGACACTCTCTTTCTTCAGCTAAACATGGACCACTTGTGTTGGTGCTTTCCCCAGCTTTGGAGAAAGAACAGAAACAGCGTGAGCAAGATGAGAGAGCCACGGGCACAGGGATGCTCCTACCTGTGCGCAAGACGAGTCCTTGGGTTGCTTTTAGGATTTAGTCCAGTCCTCACTGCCTGGGAGCACATTTTCCAACAGAATTCAGCTCCAAATCAGATAAAGATCGGTGTTTTGGACATTATTTTGGTGTGGTGTAAGGAGAGAGAAAGAGATACTGAAATGAGGCTATGGGTGACTATCAGCCCAAAGAGGCTCCCTAGCACCAAAGTAGGATTGGGCCCTCTGCTAAGCAAAGTAGAATTGGACAAATCAACCCCAAACTTCTCTGGAATAAGGCCCCACTTTATTCCTGAATGAGTATTATTGCCTTGCTAAACTGCATTTCTACTCAGACCTCAACCATTTTGCCTGAAGGCTTCTCAGAAACAAACATACACAATTATTATTATTTTTATAATGGGAAAAGTTTCTTTTTCCATGCTGCCCAAACTCTAATCCAGGCAATGCAATTTTGCTCAAGCTTTCAAACAATAACACCATCTCAGAAAATGTCTACAGATTGTATTTTCGAACGACACTCAAAAACTTGGAAGTCTGTGTCTGTGTTGCAAGACAGCAGACTGCCCAATTATGCAATTGCTTGAGTAGCCCCAGATCATCCCACTACACATAGGCGCTCAACTTAAGCACTGAATTTAAAAGTGCAGCAGCCTTGGGCCTCCCTGGAGGGCCTCAGTTGAGAAAGGCAAGTACCTCAAGCAGAAATTCAGATCTTTGGTGCTGTAAATATTCTTCTGGAAGTGCTCACCTGCCTCCATTCATTAAAAATGGCACCTAAAGCAATCATAGGTTGCTAATGTAGGTACCGCATCTGAGTGCCTAATGGATAACTGTTGAGCTCATGCGGACTGTGCAGCTCGTCACCCAGGAAAGCCAGGGGTGTCTTTGCCTGGGAAGGGTCCGTGTTACGTGGCTCCCAGCAGCGAGCAGCAAGACACGAGTGTCTTGCACTGCACTGAACGGTGATATGCAGATACAGATACTCCAGGGTGACCAGGCAAGCCCAGAAGGGGCTTTGTCTCACACTAAGGCTGAACACAGGTAAGCGAGTCCAGCAATGGATCCGAAAAAACTCTACATGTAATCCTGCCCAAGCCTGAAAGCACTTAAATTCCACAGGTATATTATTTTTTTATCTCCAAGCCCTCCAGGCACTCAGAGGAGTATCACTGCAAACCCCCAGCTGGCCTGATAGTGCAGAGGAGCTGGGAACATGAGGCACAGATATGCCTGGCCAGGACTTGGAGAGGGCTCTATTAAATAAAGTCCCCTGAGGTGTTCAATTTAGGAGGCATTCTAGGGAAACATCTAACATGCACCAACAGGATGACAGTCGTCTCAAAGCTCAGCTACAGCAGCTGTTCTCATTTAAAACATATCCAGAGGAGACGAAGGAGATATGCCCAAGCTTCCAGAATCCCTTCAGCAACTTATGAATGAGGCATGAGATGAAAAATCTCTCCCCAGTGGACAATGCATAGACAAAGCTGAGCAGACACGGCTCTGCCCTTTTTTGTTTCCCTCAGCTTTAATCAAGGACATTCCACAGTCAGCTCCAAAAAAAAAAAAAAAAAACCCAGAAAAAAAGCTTTACAAATGCCCATCAAGCCCAGAGATGTCAAGACTAAAGAAAAATAGAGGGGAAAAATCCCCTGGGAAGGTATTTAAAATATTTAGTACTTTTTTCAAATTCCCTGTTTCTTCAGTTCAGTGAAGCTCCCCCAGCAAGATCAGCTCCTACTTAGGGAAAAGTGTGAACTACGGTATTTGTTCAAAGGTAACCTTTCCCACTAATACAAACAAATAACTGAATAAAGTATTTCAGAATTTGTAAAGACTGTTTGAATCTGTGTTTTGGAGTTTTGGTTTTCTTCCTCCCATCGAATACTGAAAGTTCACTCTTGTCTCTTCCAAAAGTAGACAAACAGGCAATCAAGGATATTATCCAAACCTTGGGTCCTGCTGCTGGGGATCGTCTGCCTGTTTTACAAAGTACCTGGGACACCAGCTTAACCTGAGATGGTACAAAATACTTGGGTGTCAGGTGAACCAGGTCTGGACCTCAGAGCCCAGCTAGATTTCCCAGATCACTAAACAGCTTTTGAAGCAAGCAATACCTACAAGTCCTTCATGGTCACTGTGGTTGTCTTTTAAACTTGACTCATTTTGTCTTGGGTTTAGTGAATAAATAAGCTTCTCTAATTACCGACATTTTCTTTATGTTCTCTGTACCTGCTGAATGTAATCTGCTAAATACTGAGATAATGTTATTCTAATGTCTTCAGGGATTGGCACTTCTGTAGCAGGGACCACTCTGCCTGATCAGAAGAGGAACAGTAGAAAAGTACTGTGAGAAAGAAAATCTTTCCTTCATCCAACACCTTTGGTTGACTAAATGCATGGATTGTTTTTGCATTTGTTGCAAGCATCAATATCTTAGTTACACTTTCTATTCCATCTGTAGCAGTCAGGGACTGTGATTTCTAAGGTTTTGCATCTGCTTCACTCCTAAAAACACTGTGAAACCACTCCATGCTTGTGACAAACACTTCAGTCACAATTCTGCCTCTTCCAAGCTCCTGAACTTTCATTTTCAAATACATGGCATCAAATAATAATTCCCTCCTCATAATAACTGTTGCAAAGAAATTACATGCTTTGCTCCCAAGAATGATGTTTTGACAACTGTGGAATAGATGTGTGCAAGTGACTGGTGTAAAGGCAAAATATCTTTCCAATGGTAAAAAGTACCCATTGCACTTACCTGTCTGAAAAAGTGCTGTGTTGTTATCGCAAAGACATCAAAACCACAGCTGGCCCTTTTAAGCTCATCTCGAATATTGCTTAATTGCCGGGACTGCTCATCACACTTTTCCTTCAACCTCTGAACAAACTGCTTTTCAGCATCTCGACTCTCTCCTGGTTTGGGGGAGAATCCATTCTTTGGGGTGGCTGGCCTTTGCTTGGGATGTCCTACAAAGGAGAGAAGAAAAGGCCATCAGGGTCACCTACTTCATACATACGGACATGACCTTTATGTGTTTCTAAGGCCTTTGGGACTCAGCCCTATAAAAGAAAAAAAGATCTGTAGCATTCACAGAGATCTGTAATGACTTTCAAAAAAAGCAAGAGTACAGCGAAATATGTTTCCCTAGGGGCCAAAGCTCAAAGCTTTTACAACAGTCATCTCACCTCAGGCTCTGAGCCTGAAGGTCTGCTACGAGTTGAGGAGAGTTCTCCTAAGAGTGTCTTACTGAGAACTGAGGTCATTAGAGGAAGGATTCATCTCACCTATGTTAGACATCTACAAGAGCAGAGGTCTGCATCTTGATGTGTGATGCTGAACTCTCTTGAATGGTGGTGAGAGAAATGGGCACTTCCAGGTTGAGATTCACCTTATCCTATGGTGGAGGTGGTAAACAGTTGGATGACATTTACAGTCTACACACAATTTCTTTGGCCACCTGAACTTGGTGACTTGGTGACTTGACAGATGTGCTGGCTTTACTTTGCCTTTTCAGATTTCCTTTTGCCTCCAAATGGGGCAATGTGGGGCTGGAGCTGCCCTTCCCTGAATGCAAACACAGCATGGGTTGCTTGCTACTGCGTTATCACTGTTTCTTTTTATCACCAATATTGCAGTCTACCTCGCCAGTTCCCCTTGCTCTCCCCTTCATAACACTTCTGAAGTTGCAGCACAAGCCAGATATGTGTAGAAATGCCACCAGGTATCACATAACGCTGACTGGTTACACCAGTGGCTCTGCATGGCTGCTTTCTCTGCACCGTCGGTCACATGAGAATCGCTACATGGTCTGCTTGCAGAAAAGGGTCCAGACAGACTCTGGCTCCCCTGATATGCTCCAAGTTGGCTTGAAGCAAGCCTAAACCTGTATAAAGATGTGAAACCGCTAGTGTTGCTTATCTTTAGGGTATCAGCTCAAATAGAGTGTCACATTCACATGAGTGGCACAAGAACTAAAGCTTACTCATGACAAGCCACTTCAGGGAAGTGAGGCTTTCACCCTAAATTAAGTTCATATCCTGCTTGAGTCAACTATCCATTTCTCATTACAAGGATGAAGCAAGAAGGGGTAGCTGCATCTTGCTCAAGCCACTGCTTGGACAATCTGTTTTGTCTTTATCTTCTTAGCTTTCTGAGAACTCTCCCCTGCAAACATTTCTGGTCAGCTGGGCAACGCCTTTGCTCAGCTTACCGATTCTTTTTGCTACCTTCACTCTCTCCTCAGCTGATGCTTTTTAGCTCATTCCTGAAATACTGGCCAGGAATCTCTAGTTCTGCTCCTCAGCTCCTCCCACTAGTCTCATGCTTTTAGCCTAGGAGCTAGAGTCAGTAAGAAAAAGGGAAAAAAAAATCGAATCAGACACCTTGTTCCCATGTATCACTAGAGATGGCGGACATTGGTCTGGATACAGGCGAAAAATGAACATTTCTGTGTTAGCAGAAAGGGCTGGGTATGCAAGAATCTAAAAAAGGGTATCCTGTAGTTTTATAGTCTTGTAATGTACAGTTCCTGAAAAAATAATACAGAAACAATGTCTCCAACCAGTCCTCAGCAATGAATGTAACAGGGGACAGTATTCTGCCATGGATACTACCTACCCCTTTCCTAAAAACCAGAAGAACCCTTCCACAGAGAGGTATCTGGTGCTATGGGTTTGAGCCAATTTGTGAAGTAGAGCATTGTTGCAGATATATATGCACACATATAATTTAATATATTGTATTATATTATGTTATATTATATTATATTATATTATATTATATTATATATATTTTTTATATCCTTAAGACTGTGGCCTGGGTGTGCAAATGGATCCTTAGGGCACTTCTACTAGATCAGGCAGGGAAGCAGGATGGCTTTGTCAGAGCAAGACCCCAGGAGCGTATTCCTACTTTTTCAGATCCCTGGCTTGTGTGGAGCCACTGGAAGCATATCTTCCAATGTGCTTGACTCTGTTCTGGCTCCAGGCTAAGCTTGGGGGAGCTAGCTCCAGCAGAGATGCTCCCTCACGGCGCCAAGTATCTCACCCTGCAACTGCAAAGAGCCACAAGCGCAAAACAGCCCTTGAAATTCTTTGTGCCTGTGACTTGCATTTGCAAAGAGGAATACCAGGTTTTGCAGCGTGTCAAGGCTAACTCCATGATGCTGCGAGACCTAAATAATACAATACGGGATGTTAAGAGAGGACTTTCTGCCATTAAGAGAGTTCACCATAGCTATTGCCCTCTACCCATTTTCATGTCAGTTAAAGCCTGTACACCTTTTTTTGTGCAGGAATAATGTTTTCTTACAGATTCTTTAATTCATTTAAAGGAACTCTTAACTGGACAGTAGGTTTTATCACAAAATAAGAAATTAATAAAAGCAACAGCAATAAATATCTGGTTTTTTAGTATAAAAATCTCGGGTTGTTTAGGCAGCATGGTGATGTTACAACAGAAGGCATAGGGAGATGTGTATGGGGAAGCCCTTGAAATCAGTCCAATTTTAATTAAATCAGAAACACATCAGGTTGTTGTGTCTTATATCTTTCTAGCTTTCCTGCTCACTGGAATATTTGAAGTGCACATCTCTACGTTGTCCTTGTCAGTATTATAAGCTGTCCTTGTAAATTAAACTATGCTATTTTCCTCAGGGATAAATCTGAATTTCTTGGTTCGTTTGGGTCTGAAAAGCAGCTTACTAAGCTTATTCTGCCATTGATGTCTCCCTTCTGTTGCTCTGCACAAAACAGGCGATATATTATTGATGCTGGCCCTGATCCTGAATGTCCTTTTTGCTGATGGTGGGACCAGGGGGGCAGACCCACTGTGTGCTGAAATCACTGAACCCCTTTGATCCCCTTCAAAACTCCCAGGTCTTTTTTATCTAACTGAGTGTTTGAACTAAGGAGACATAACAAGTATATACTCATAATTAACACAGTCCACGAGGATTTAGATGGGGAATACAATTTCTTTGCCTTTTAGCTGTCCAATTTCTGACATTTTGGTAAGAAAAATGAGGAAATTACTTGGAGAGGATTGATAACAACCAGTCTGTAGAGTGAAAGATGTCAGAAACAGATGGCACCGTCCTGCAATGGGGTGGAAGGAGAGCACCTGCATCTATGTACACCTGCCCCTATACACAGATTTTGGGAATGGTATTGCATCAGTAGATAAAATTGAGATCCCTACAAGACTCTGCATCCCAAAACTCCCTTGCAAGTCTTCAGGAGGACTGATCCAAATACTAAAGATCAGATTCAAGGCCAAAAAAACCAATTGTATGACAGTGAAAAACCAGTGCTGATTAAAAGGGTTTGCATGTGAGGAGGCCAGTAACAGAGGGAAAACAACCTAGAAAGAGCACTGAGAAATTTTAGATCCTGTTCCATGGCCTCATGTAGCTGTAATAGAGTTACCTGGGGAGCACATGCTCCCCTATCATGAAGTGTAAATGCCACATGAGTTTGTGATCCTGATGGAGGGAAGGCTGTGCTGCTGCCCCTTAGCCCCAGCTGCATTCATTCCTTGTCCTGCTTAATGGCTGCTTTGCTTATTTTGTGAAATTGTTGAATAGGTCAAAAGATTGTCTGTCATTATTGCTTTGCTGTTGCTGGTGTTATTTCAAAGAATGCTAAAGGCTACTCTAAAAAAAATGAATGAAGATGAGGTTTATTTTCCTATTTGATCCTTACATTGATAAACAGTTTTAGGTTGCCATAATTTCAGACCACCAAGCTTAAGAAATCCTAAATCAGTCTGATGGAGTGAGGGCAGTTACTTAACCTCTCATGAGAATGAAGAAAACTTTGAGGCCTCATGAATTGTATATGCCAAAAATTTAAGCCTTGAAAATCATTAAGTCACCTGTGGAAATGCAGGCCTCCTTAAGACAGTACAAATATACCTACGTTTCATTTTGCTTTCTAATTCTGCTCCTTAAGACAGTACAAATACACAGTACGAATATACCTACGTTTCATTTTGCTTTCTAATTCTAGTGGAAGCAAATCAGCTGTACTGCAACATGCTGCTACAGCCACAATCAGTGCCGGTGCTTGCACTGGACCCCCACCGTTATAAACGCTGGTCAGCTGCTGGTTTGACACTCTCTGCAACAAATCTTTCTTTGGATCTTTCTTTGTAATCTCACCAGGTGCAAAATAGCCTAAAAATTATATGATTCGGAGGACAGTGTTACGTTCATCTTTTTACCCTAGTGTCTTGGTAAGGAGAAGAAATCTGAGTCCTGTTGATGCCTGGAAAGATTAAATTTAACCTTCCATTTTCTTGATTTGTTGGCTGGGGAGGGGAAGAATAGGGATTGAGTTTAGTACACGTGAAGAGACTCTCGATGCAAGTTATAGGAGCTGAAGAGCTGTTCTACATGTTTTATACCTTACCATCAAATGAAGAAACATGGGGTTCTACCCCCCATAATTATAAGTCAAGTATCATATAGCTGTAGAGATCACATTTAGATTATTCAAGTAGAGTCTGAAAAATGAGGTAAGAGAACAGAAGATAAACAGCAAGCACAAGGAAATCAGTGGGACCATGCGTGCTCATTTCAAAAGCATTTAGATCAGCCAAAGGCCAGCCTTACAAAAGGCCTTTAGGTACCTTATACATCTGTTAATGTACACTGAGTACTTAGAAATAAGTTATCTTCATTTTAATAAATAAACAAAGGTATTCTTTAGAAATGTTAAAACCATGTGTTTGTTCCCAATATTGAGGGGTAAGTTGACAATGCCCCAGTAACACTCTGGAGGTTATTTCTATAGATAATCCCTTTTCCAATTATGCATAGAAATAGGCCAGAAAATTTAGTGCCTCTGCACAACAGTAAGAGTAGATTCCCAGTAATATACTATCACTCCAGGCAATTGTCTGAGGTGTCTTCTATTTCACTATATCTATCTGTTCTCTTTTTATAGAAGAAAATTAAAATGATTTAAAAAAAAAAGTTCCTGTGCCATTAAACATGTAATAGCAACAACTCTTTGTTTTGAAGGAGAGATGATTGCATGGCTGCAACAAAGAAAACATAAGTCTATTCAGCTTATGCATCAGTATAATAAAGTCTGCGGTACTTATAGCCAGCTTAATTAACCTTGGGCACAATCAATTTTCACTTAACAATAGTGGGTCTCAGATTTTAGTGTTAACAAGAGATGCAAAGTTGACAGGTTTAAATTTTCCCTGAAACGGTGCTTTTCAGTTCACAAATACCTGGCGAATGGAGCTTGGTGGCTGTTACCATCGATCTCTTAGGGGATGAGACAGCTGGTCTGTTAGCATCCTGATCTTTTTGTACTTCTTTCTTCAGACCTGTTTTAGAAAAAATATAAAGGTAGAAAGAAACCTGGTTTATAATTCTGTTTGCAACTGTGCAGAACTATGTCACCACTAGGACACACACCACTACGGCAAAATATAAGTATTTCACTGGTACACATCCTGGGCACAGAATGATGCCGCACAGTACTTCTGTGCTGGACGCCAACTTGCCGCTTCTGCAAGCATGACTGTGTGCATGTGGCTGAGCTGACAGGCACAGCACTAAGGAAGGGCAGGAGAAGGCCTTACATGCTGTCTTGGCTCTCCAGCCATCTGCACGGTGACAAATGCCATTAAGACACAAACAGCTACAGAGATAGCCCAATCCTACCTGTTCTAAGCTCTGTGTTCTGTCTCTTTACCTTGCTGTGCATCCTTAGCCAAGGATCTAGGCTGGAGGAGAAGCTAAGTAGGACTGTGCAAAGCCTGTGCTGCAGGGCACCGGTTCTATCAACTTTTTCCTCAGGTTAGGAAACTGCCTTTTCTGGTGACCAGCTCTCCCCTCCTTGTTTGTAGCTCTCCAGATTACTCCTGACCTCTGCATTTAGCCTTTTTTCTGAGCCACAAATTCTTCCCACTAACAGCCCGATGCCCCAGAGCTTTTGGGTTATGATCTCCAGAAACTTTGTGCTAGCCTTCCCTCTTCCTTTAATTTCTCCGTGGGAGGCAAGTCAGTGCCTGTTATTCCTCCTCCCACCTTTAGAGCCCTCTGGTTACAGGCTCAGGACGGGTCTGTCAGTTGTCCAAGCCCTGCAGTCACCGACTGCCTCTTGGCCAAGGGAGATGCAACTCCATCTGAAAGCCAGAGCGGCCACCCAAGCTCTGCTTGCCCCTCCTGCCCACCCACAACTCCCATTGAAATAGCTGTGGGGACCGCGCTGAGTGCAGTCACATGAAAGTCCAGCCCTGCTGGCTTGCCCGTGGTGTGACAGTCACAGCCACAGGATTTCATGCAGAAAACACTCACTGAGGAAGTAAGAAGGAAGAGCAAGGAAAAGCAAAGCCCTGAGACATTAATGTATTTTCCTGTTTGCTTCCCTTTTGTACCATGTTTGTTTGGGTCGTATTTTAGCCGCAGGACTATGTCACAGCCCCTGGATACACAGGAAAAAGAGAGATTTAAGGCAAACCACTTGTCATAAAGGAAAAAGTGTTTGCCTTATTAACTTTGTCTTCTCTCAGGAGTACGTTTACAGATGTCTTGTAGCAAAATTTCCCACAGAATCTGAAGTATCTGAAGAAGGAAAACAAACCCGTATTTTCTTGGTGGTGTTTAAAGACAGTGGCAGTCCAAAAGCTAACACTACCTTCCATTTTGCTTAATGCAAATGTGGTCTGGCTATTTCAGTAGTGGAGAAGAGTGGTAATTTTATATGGGGATCTTAATCTTCAGGGACGCTTCCTGGATGCCTCGCTTTCTGCCCTCTCCAAAGCCACAGCTAGTCACACTTGCAGTATCAGGCTTATTTTTGAGGCATCATTCACCCTTCCGCTTCCGTCTGCATGAGGCCTTGCAAGCAGCGAGCTGCAGACGCAGAATTTGCGGCGCACCAGAAACTGAGCTTCATATTTCCTAGCACTGTCTCTCAGCGTTCGTTTGCAGAGTGCTTCTGCGAAGACCACACGCCCAAGCCCTGTGTCCAGCTATTTGTGGAAGGATGGCCCAGGAGAAGGTCTAAGACCCTCTTTGACTCCCTCCCGCGGTTCAGAGGCAAATCACACCATCAGTCATCATGGGCTGGTAAAGACTCAACTCTTCTTCATACCTTTACTTTGGTCCATCTCCATTTTCTCTCCTGTTTGTAAACCGGACATGTTGGGGTTACGATTCTCATTTGTGATCAATACTTTTCACAGTGAAGTGACTGAGGATATAGATTTCCTGCGTCTGCCACCTATGACACTGTACTTCACTGCAGAGCAGGACATAAAATAAGTTTATGGTGCCGTTTCATTACTAACACCCAAGCAAAAGCAACCTGAGATGGGAGCTGTGAGAGAAAAGCAGAGCTCGTTTTATAAGGTATAGTTTATATGGTTACAGATTTGAGGATTAATTTTTCATGGCAATGAGGCCTTGGTTTTTCTGTGGTTTTCAAAATAAGAACATGATGCACACTGGACTGTTTACCTAGCTCCTCTCTAAATTTTGCGACGGCAAATGTCAAACACAGGCAATGGTATGGAGAGTGTGTTTTCCTTATGCTTTCAGCAGTAAAAAGGGGCAAATAAATACTTTTGGTTTTGAGACTTTTTCAATGAGGGAAAGCCTTAAGCACAAAGCGAGGAACAATTCTCCAGTTAGAGCTCGGTTGAAAGAAAAGAGAGCAAAGGAGCAAATAAGCCCAGTGAGCACCACCGTTCTGCAGAGGGCAAGGCGAGGTCTGCGGAAAGCAGCAAGGGTCTCACAGGGGCGCAGACAGCGGTGCCCATCAGGGGCAGCCGCATGGGACATGTCGGCCCCGGAAGGTGGGAGATCAGCGGAGCCTGAAGCAGGTTGCAAGCAAAGGCGCAAATAGGTATCTTGGCAAGGACAGAAGAGTAGGATTAATGACAAGGGGGGGAAATGAGGACAACCACCCTCATTCAGTTTACAAGACTAGGAGAGCTCCTAAGGTCTGGCAGGGGTGGCAATGCAGCAAGCAGGGAAGCGAGGAGGGGTTGTGGAGCAAGGGAAGAGCCAGTGCACAGCACAGCCCTGCTGGGAAGGGGCTGGGGAGAGCGGGACATGCAGTTAGCAATTATTCAACTTCTCCTTCATAAGCAGAAGGGTCCTGGTGGCCTCTCTGTGGCCCTCCTCAGTGGAGAGGGATTTCGGAAGCACTCAGCAGGCAAAAGAAAGGACAGTCCGCAGGAGCGAACCGTTGCCGTTCTGCTAAGCTCATCACCCACAGGGAGATCTTAGGGGAAGAGTCATCCCTGGCACCAGACCTCAAATAAGAGCTTGTGCTGAATGTTTTTCTAAAAATGGGGTTTGTTCTTTCTCTTCTCTTTTGAAACAAGAGCTGTTAGCTGGTTAAAAGAGAAACATTCAGAAAACATGCTGATTTCAAGAGAAGTTCCCGCAGGGAAAATTCATTTTTAAATGACAAGAGTTTGGGCTCTGAATTTGTCGTTTCACAGAAATCTAGAATTTCAGGTTTAAAAAAATCTGTAGGAGAGCATTGGCATAATGCTGTACCGCAGGGTATGGCACAGCAGGAGGTTCTACAGTTTGATCTTTTCTACCTTGAAGTGTACTAGAAGTAACTCAAAGGTTATAATGTACATAAAAAGTTTGATGCTCCACTGTAACTCAGGAAACAAGACAAACATTTCAGTCATTATCACAGGCCTGAATGCCTGTAAAACCTCAAATAATACTTTGACTGTCATATGTGTTTTGAAATGTCAAAAGGTGTTGTGCATACAATCATAAAAAAAATGTAAAATACAATTATAAAAGGAAATAAAGCACCACAAGAATATATTTCTTTAATCTGCACACTGTTTAGATTGTGTTCTAAATTTGTCTTTTAAAACGTGTATTAACTCTGACCTGGAACAAAATTTACTTCAAGCTCTCGGTGTTATTGCCCACAGGCTGGAAATATATGCAACTGCAATTAGCTCTGTGCTAAATGCCTGTACATTGGCTTTATCCCTGCTGGCTCCCAGCACTCAGCTCCCAGCAAAAGGCTCCTGGCAGAGCAGGAACCACCACTGACTTCCAGGAGCAGCTTCCACGACTCTGCCAACCCCTTCCACTACGGGAGCTCATGGAGGGAGAAGTTGTCTTTCCAGTAGCCAGGAATCAAAGGCACAAGCTTACTGATTTTTATATGAATTTACATTCCATTTGAAGTTACAAATCTCCCAATGTTTCCTCCCTTTCAAAAGCTATATTTATATGGAAATGGATATTTCAGGCTATAAGATAACAGTGAGAATAAATACTCACTCGTGTTTTCTGCTGGGGTGGTTACTGCATTTGCTTTTGAAAAAAGCATCTGAATGCACGGTTCTGTAAAGGTATCTACATTTTCTAATTAGCACACACAGCCTGCTTTAAACTGCTTTCTACTGGTTGACAGCCGGCTTACTGGTTCACAGCCGGCTGAATATAAGCCAGCAGTGTGCCCAGGTGGCCAAGAAGGCCAATGGCATCCTGGCTTGTATCAGGAATAGTGTGGCCAGCAGGAGTAGGGAAGTGATCGTGCCCCTGTACTCGGCACTGGTGAGGCCGCACCTTGAATACTGTGTTCAGTTTTGGGCCCCTCACTATAAGAAAGACATTGAGGAGCTAGAACATGTCCAGAGGAGAGCAACAAAGCTGGTGAGGGGTCTGGAGCACAAGTCTGATGAGGAATGGCTGAGGGAACTGGAATGGTTTAGCCTGGAGAAAAGGAGGCTGAGGGGAGACCTTATCGCCCTCTACAACTGCCTGAGAGGAGGCTGTAGGGAGGTGGGTGTTGGTCTCTTCTCCCAGGTAATGGGTGATAGGATGAGAGGAAATGGCCTCAAGTTGTGCCAGGGGAGGTTTAGGCTGGACATTAGGAAAAATTTTTTCACCGAAAGGGTTGTCAAGCACTGGAATGGGCTGCCCAGGGAAGTGGTGGAGTCCCCATCCCTGGAGGTATTTAAAAGATGGGCAGATGAGGTGCTTAGGGCCATGGTTTAGTGGTGGACTTGGCAATGTTTGGTTAACAGTTGAACCTGATGATCTTAAAAGTGTTTTCCAACCTGAATGATTCTATGATTCTATGAACAGAAGGAGCAAAGGCAAAATCAGTAGAAATACACACCAAAACACTCCCAACATGTTAAATCATTCAGCAGTTACTTAGAAAAACAGCAAACAAAGCCAATTCTCCATTCCCCCATCACTGCTGAACACTAGCCTAGGAACCAGAGCTAAATACCTTGTCTGAGACATCTTCTCAAAGGCTGCTGCAGAATCAGCACGTGTGTCTGCCTGTACCTTTCCGAGTCTTTAAAAGCCAGTACAGTGGGATAGGCTTCAGCTGGCTTTCACACTTCAGACTGAAAACACGCTAACAAATTACGCATTGCATATTTATTCCCAAACAAATCCTAACATGCTGTAGACATCATTAACAATTCAATGGGACTGGCTGCATTCAATTGGGATTCCAGCTGTTCCCAGGCGTGTTTCATAAGTTAGCTATCATAAGTTAACTAATGCAGTCTGCAAGTTTAAAAAACCCCGAGGAAGTGTTTTCAGTCACTCACAGACACAGGGAGCCACTTCGAGTGTTCTTCTGCCTTTCCCCCTGGTGCCCACCACCAGTCAGGTCCTTGGTGAGTAATGACACATCCATGCACGCATTGTTTGAGACAAAATGAGCAAAGCTGGAAATATGATGGGTTCTGTAGAATAAGAGTCAGCTAATTCTCTCTAGAGACTCTCTACTTCCCGTGATCTCTGAGATACTGAAGGACTGTGAATAAATAAGTAGATGTAGAAGAAAGACAATGCATTTGCTGAAGTAGAAACTGCTAACGCTTGTGATTTTCCCTTTGTGTTTGTTTCAAATTTAAAGTCAATCTGATAAGAAAAAAAAAGAAGGAAAAGGGCTATTTCATTGACTCATCTGAAAGTGATTGTTTTCTTTCAATATTAAAAAGAAAAGCCTCTTTATCTGGTATTAAAAGAAAAAACTGAAGGAAAAAATAAACCTGATGAAACGAACCATTCTTTAGATGGAATAGAAAATCTCAGGGTAACTCAGAACATCCAACGTTAGTTGCAGAGTTAAAGCAACTGCTCCTTCTCTTCCTGTCATTTGACATGGGTCCCATGGCATTTTGTCATCGCTCCATCACAGAGTTGTGCTGTGGCACATTTAAAAAATCACTTCCACCTGCAGTGTAGGGCTGCATATCCCTGTCTTCAGTCCAGGAACAACAGGAAGGTAACCCACCATGTATTCACCCTTTAGATTTTAATGGAAAGCATTTGCAAAGGGGAGCACGGCAAACTCTTCCCCCTGCATCCCTGCAAGTGCACTGGTGCTCTCTTCCCCCCCTCTCAGCTGACCTTAGCTCACCCCTCTCCCTCCTGCTGAGGTTGTGTTGTCTGGATTTTACAGAAGCTGATTAAAAGAAGCACATTTTACACTGCAAGCTTGCTGGTGAGAGCTGTGATAACACCGGCCTCCTATTTTTCATCTTGACTGATTGTATTTAACAGCCTGCCCTGTTACATATGATTTACTGGTACTTGTAAAAGCACAGGAATTGACTGGGTTAGTTTTTTGAACAACGCTTTTCATTGTCTTTAATTTAATGGGCCAAGTAGAAACAAGCTGCTCAAATGAATTCTTTATGGCTACTGTCATTGCACACAAATTACGAGATTTCTTATGGGGAATAACAAGCCACTTGTCTGTGAGATAAACATTAAATAAGAATAATAACCAAGCTGAAATAGGTATGCTGTAACACACAGCCCACAACAAGGCATAGAAAATATAAAATCCTTCAGCTCCCTAATTTCATAGACCACTGGGTGGCAAGTCCAGCCTGGTGGGCAGAGCTGAGATCTGGAACAAGCAGCAAGCTCATGCTCAGGAGTTTGGATCAGGACTGCAGGCACAAACAAGGGAGCCCAGAGCTGCATCAGTATCCTGAAGGTGAACCAAAGTTTCAAAACACAGCAGAGTTTAGAGGTACGAAGCTGGATTTTCTGTGGGTTTCTATGTTCTGAGAGAAGGATGTGGCTGAACAAGACCAGACAGGGATGAGACCACAGAGGAAGCTGTATTACACGAAGAGAATAAAAACTATGCAGAGCTGGTCAGATGTAAATCACT